CATGTTCTGAAGGTTGTTCTTCCTAACGTTTCGCCAGTCTCTGTGGCCGGCATCTTCAGAGACTGGCGAAACGTTAGGAAGAACAACCTTCAGAACATGGCCAAAGAGCCCGAAAAACCCACAACAACCATTGTTCCAGTTTGTCTGCATCCTTCTTAAAGTGTGGCATTCAGAACACAACACGGTACTCAAGATGAGGCCTAACCAGTGCTGAATAAAGGGGAACAAGCACCTTGCAGGATTTGGAGACTATACTTCTACTAATGCAGTCTAGAATAGCATTTGCATTTTTTATAGACACATCACACTGTTGGCTCATATTTAGCTTGTGATCTACAACAAATCCAAGATCCTTCTCTCTTGTAGTATTACTGAACCAGGTATCCCCCATCTTGTAACTGTGTGTTTGGTTTCTTTTTCCTGTGTGTTTGGTTTCATTTTCAAGGTGCACTTATCCCTGTTGAATTTCATTCTGATGTTTTCAGCCCAGTGCTCAAGCCTATCTAGATCATGTTGAATTTTGTTTTTGTCTTCCAGGGCATTATTTATTCCACATAATTTTGTGTCCTCTGCAAATTTGATTAGCATTTCCTGATCCAGGTCCAGGTGTGACTCATTGGCCTCTACCTCCTTCATCACTCCTTCTCTCAGCACCCTCAGGCTGGCCGTCACTAGGGCCTCTCTGAAGTCCACTGGAAACAATTGTGGAGTGTTCCCTTCTTAGCTTAATAAGGGAAATGTTTATTTGCATGTAAATGTCTACTAAAGTTGGTTTGCATATAGCATGGCATGGCATTTCCAGAGGGGTAGCTATCTTCCAATGCTCAGTGAGATGTAGTGGATAGAGTGACAGACTAGACTCAGGATTCTGGATTTGAATCCCCTCTTGGACATGAAAACTCACTACGGCAGGTGTGGAACTGGTAAAACCATTCTTTAAATATCTCACTTACCTTGAAAACCCCATTAGGATCACTATAAGTCAGATGTGCCTTGTCGGCACACAACACACAAACATACACACAGCCTACTCTGTAGCCTGCACTCTGTAGTCTGTTGCAGAAAAAGCAATGAAAGCATATCACACTTTACAAAAAAAAAGGAAATTTTCAAATCCAAGATCCTTCTCTCTCGTAGTATTACTGAACCAGGTATCCCCCATCTTGTAACTGTGTGTTTGGTTTCTTTTTCCTGTGTGTTTGGTTTCATTTTCAAGGTGCACTTATCCCTGTTGAATTTCATTCTGATGTTTTCAGCCCAGTGCTCAAGCCTATCTAGATCATTTTGAATTTTGTTTCTGTCTTCCAGGGTATACAATGCAATTCCTGACCGTACTCACAAGAAAGTAAATGCCATTGAATTAATGAGACTTACTGACTTATTGTCTAGTAGATGTTTTTAACATTGCTTCATCACTCCTTCTCTCAGCACCCTCAGGCTGGCCGTCACTAGGGCCTCTCTGAAGTCCACTGGAAACAATTGTGGAGTGTTCCCTTCTTAGCTTAATAAGGGAAATGTTTATTTGCATGTAAATGTCTACTAAAGTTGGTTTGCATATAGCATGGCATGGCATTTCCAGAGGGGTAGCTATCTTCCAATGCTCAGTGAGATGTAGTGGATAGAGTGACAGACTAGACTCAGGATTCTGGATTTGAATCCCCTCTTGGACATGAAAACTCACTACGGCAGGTGTGGAACTGGTAAAACCATTCTTTAAACAGTGAGATGTAGTGTATAAAGTGACAGACTAGGACTCAGGATTCTGGATTTGAATCCCCGCTTGGACATGAAAACTCACTACGGCAGGTATGGAACTGGTAAAACCATTCTCTAAATGTCTCACTTACCTTGAAAACCCCATTAGGATCACTATAAGTCAGATGTGCCTTGTCGGCACACAACACACAAACATACACACAGCCTACTCTGTAGCCTGCACTCTGTAGTCTGTTGCAGAAAAAGCAATGAAAGCATATCACACTTTACAAAAAAAAAGGAAATTTTGTTTGGTACCATTTTTTCATGGACTGCAGCCCACATTGTCCATGAAAGCTTATGTCAAATAAAATCTGCCAGTCATTAATGTGCCCTGGGACACTTTGTAGCACTGAAATACAGTAAGCCACAAAGTAAGCCAGGAATGAGGACTCTTTGACTCTCCAGTTCTTTTGGACTACAACCTCCACAGCCCCTTACTATCAGCCATGCTGAATGGTGCTGATGGGACTTCTAGGCTGAAATATCTGGTGGCCTGAAGGTTCATTCCTGCTAGTAATAAGCTTTAGAACAGCCTTGCACAATTCTTGTGGCTGTGTTGGATGCAATTGCTATCACCCTAGCCAATAAGACCAATGATGCTCATCAGAGATCTGAAAAGCCAGCCATCCTCACAAGCTCTAAACAGCACAGGACCAATGCAGAAAATGAGTGAATTGTATAGCAAGCAATAAGATCAGGATCATGAATGAGAAAAGGCAAGAGGTGGGTGGCAAACAATGAAAATTCACAAATAAGATTTGTGAATCTTTGTCCTGTTGATCCAGTAAATGTCCTTCCGTTCCTCCCTTTCCTTTCACATTAGTTTCTTCCTCTAACTATTTACAGGTAGCAATAATACGTACACCACAAATAGAGTCAGTGTAGCAAATGGAAAGAAAGGGAATTGCTTCCATTTGCTATTTGTCGGTTGTTAACGTTATCTTAATCAACTGTAAGAGGGGCTTTAACTGAGCAATCCTAAACTCACATTATCTTGGGACCGTAGCTACACTGATAGAATGTCAACCACATCCGATACAGGTTGAGTCTAGGAAGAGAGCAGGGAAACACATAGGCTGCCCAGAGAATATAAAAATGGCATGAAAATGGCAGGCCAATGTTCTTAAAAAAGCTTCCACAACCCACTGAACAGCAACAATGGTGGCAGCACCCACATTGTCCTCACACAGAACCAGCCTGATGGGGGCGGAGATCCAAAGCTCCCCTCTGCATCCTCACAGACACAATATGCAAGAAAATGCCACATAACACACACAGAAAGTAATGCCACCGGCTTCACTGCACCCATGATACCATTAGTAATGACTCTGGTACAAGCAATGACTGTACTTATGCTTCTCAAGAGCACTCTTTTCTGAACACCACAGATGAGATGAGGGTAATGAAGATACACAACTCAGTAGGTCCCTAGGTTCGACACCCAAAGAGAGCATGCAAGAACCTTGGCAAGGATTTTTAGATTTGCACAATGAGGGGATGACACTTTTTCAACACCATAAAATAGACTGGGCATTAGGTTCATTAGTACACTTTTGCAAAATGTAATTAACATATGGGCTTCACAACCATAGAGGTGGCAGCTGCTATTTGAAAATGGAATGTGGGAAGACCTGGAACATAGGTATTCCTGTGTCACAGAGAGAGACAACATGCCTCTTGTGAACTTCCCAGAATCCCCTGTAGGTTGGCTATTGTAGGGAACAGGATGCTGGGCCACCTGGTCTGATCCAAAGACATGCAGTCAGTCCAGCAAAAAGCACGGGTTGATCTGTAGCAGTTTGCCAAAGATTTCCAGCCGTGTTTTAATGTAATTATTTAATAATTGTTCAATAAGCTGATTGTTTGACAGTAGTCCTAAAATAATGGTTTGAAAATGAAACTAAGGAAGTTTATGATAACCAGGAGCAGATTTGGGCATTGAAGAGTTATGTTTGAGTCTTCTGCTAAGGACAAATCCAGGGACTCAGAATGCTTGACTTCTAAGTGCATGTCTATGTGATTGAGATTTGGGTAATGTAGTCCTTTTTTGGACTACAGCTGTCAGAATCTGCCACTCTGCCATATTCACTGGGGTCTTCTGGCATACGAAGTGCAGAAAATGAATTTTCCAAAACCCTGTGCAGTTCCTGAACACCACAGATGAGATGAGGGTAATGAAGATACACAACTCAGTAGGTCCCTAGGTTCGACACCCAAAGAGAGCATGCAAGAACCTTGGCAAGGATTTTTAGATTTGCACAATGAGGGGATGACACTTTTTCAACACCATAAAATAGACTGGGCATTAGGTTCATTAGTACACTTTTGCAAAATGTAATTAACATATGGGCTTCACAACCATAGAGGTGGCAGCTGCTATTTGAAAATGGAATGTGGGAAGACGTGGAACATAGGTATTCCTGTGTCACAGAGAGAGACAACATGCCTCTTGTGAACTTCCCAGAATCCCCTGTAGGTTGGCTATTGTAGGGAACAGGATGCTGGGCCACCTGGTCTGATCCAAAGACATGCAGTCAGTCCAACAAAAAGCACAATTTGTTCCAGTTTGCCAAAGATTTCCAGCGTTCGTGTTTTAATTTAATTATTTAATAATTGTTCAATAAGCTAATTGTTTGACAGTAGTCCTAAAATAATGGTTTCAAAATGAGCCTAAGGAAGTTTATGATAACCAGGAGCAGATTTGTGCATTGAAGAGTTATGTTTGATTCTTCTGCTAAGGACAAATCCAGGGACTCAGAATGGTTGACTTCTAAGTGCATGTCTATGTGATTGAGATTTGGGTAATGTAGTCCTTTTTTGGACTACAGCTGTCAGAATCTGCCACTCTGCCATATTCATTGGGGTCTTCTGGCATATGAAGTGCAGAAAAGGAATTTTCCAAAACCCTGTGCAGTTCTGCTAAAAGACATCTGCCTGCCAGAGTTTGATCTAGCTCAGCTGTTCTTGGGTTTTCATGTTTCTTATGTTCTTCTTACAGTTTTAAGATATCTGCCCTTTCTAGTTTTGTCTAGAGAGAAAGGCGGTGATGTGTAACCATATTGCACCATTCCATTTCCATCAATATATTTACAGTCCCAGAAGATTCAGGATCCCTCTAGCTTCAAGGATAAAATAGCAATGCAGCAATATGCTGCAGATGACTGGCTTTTATTAGTTCTCATAATTGTCTCTTATTAATTTGTACTCTGCATAATAAAATAAGCACTCACCTTCACAGTCTGTCCAGCTTCGGGACCATCCTGTAGTAGACAAGGAGGAAGGGAGAGGGGGAAAGAAGAAAAGGAGAAGGAGGTAAGAGCAGCCAAGGAAAATCTCCTGGGTCTTCGTAAATATTTCCCATTAATAATTTAAATCCAATTTCATTGTGCATTAATTTATAGCACTCTCATGGGTACAATGTGGCACCAGAGTAGTGGGGAAACAAGAACCTCTCTCTTTCAGGTCTTGATCAAATGGGAAACAAGGGTCTGAAGGAGGCATAAATGCTGGCACATTTATTCCCCCCCAGCCTTCACCATCTCAGCTCACAGATGCTCCCAATAAAGGTTGGTACTCACCAAGATTTATGGAGGCTATTTATAAAAGACCAGACAGTTGTTGGCAGGCACTGCTTGGCACAGTGAAGTGGACGCTTATGCCGATTTCTACAATTCTAACAAAAGGGAAGAGGTGCCTGACAGTGGCCGATAGAGCCACATTGTTCCCTGCTGTGTCCCACAGACCAAAGGGGATGCTATTTCAGGGAGGTGCAGCAGAAGGGCAATTCAAGAAGAAGCCAAAGTTTTAGCAAGGTTTTTAAACCCACGTCTTGTTAAATTCAAGATAAAGCAGAACATATGAAAGTAACTTCCTTATAGTCTGTGCAGAATAGTGGGTGTGGGTGTGAGAAGAGATCAGAACCCAACTCCTTTCTTACTCCCTAACAAAAATGAACTAAGTCAGTGGCATGTCTCTGTGACAAAGTTGCTTTTCTTTAGTTGTTTCTGAACAAATTATTTTAAGGCTTTGTAAACCACCTTTGGTTCCATCATGTTCAAGGATCAAGGGAGCTGAATATATATGCGTACATCTGAATGCATCTAAAGACACATCTAAAGACACAAAGGCTGGTCTTTGACACTCTGTTTTCAGGTTGTCAGATTGAATGAATGAGTGAATGAATGCACATAAGGTATACATGTCCCATCAAGGCATAGCTGGGGCCAACTACCCCTCCTGCATTTACTGAATGCCTAAAAGGCAGTAAATGAGATGAATGGTGTCAGAGTTTTTGCAAAATCAAAGCCATGAACAACACGGTAGAGCCTCATTGGGAAGGGTATGCAATTGGTGACACTCCAGATACTGTATTTTGTAGGACAGAAGTGATAAGGCATGTTTGCTGAAATGGGAAAGATATTGGGTTTCATGATCAAGTCATTTTGCCCATAGAGATGGGCAAAAACGGGAAAACCAGTGGTTCATGATGGTTCCAGGGCTAACCTCAAACCACCACGGAGCCAGTCGCTGCTTCTGAGCATGCACGCACCAACCAGCTCATGTACGGAGGCAGCAGGGCCAGTTTCCTTGCAAGGAGCCAGCTGTGGCCTCTGCATATGCGCCCACCTATCAGCTGGCCAATGGGTGCATGCTCAGAGGCAGTGGCCAGCTCAGGGAAGCCAGGCCACTGCTTGTGAGCCACTCAGCTAATAGATGGGAGCATACTCAGAGGCAGCGGGCTCAGCTCCTGGCAGGGAGGCTATGAGGATTTCAGCAGAGGAAGTGGTGGTGGTGGTGGAAGAGGTTGGCAGTGGCAGGAGCAGGTAGGGAGGCATCCGTGGCAGTGGGCAGGTATCCTATTTTGCCAAAGCAAAGAACTGAGGAGGGGGAGAGTTTGTCATTTCAAAATGGGATCCCCAAACCAGGTCACGAACTCAACCACAAATCAGCCCAGTGAGTCATTTTTTTTCTGGTTCATGCCCATCTGTCATAGAGAGGGACAAGAACTCTATCATCCTTGAATCTGATTCAGGAAAATGTAGGGAACATCTCTGTTGTATTATCCCTTCAAGTAGGAACCGACTTGCAGAAACACTAGTAGAGCTTTCAAAGTATGATATTTAACTAGTGGTTTTACCAGTTCCACTCCCCCAGTGAGCTTCCATGGCAGAGCCAGGATTCAAACCCAAGTCTACTGAGTCCTAGTCGTTCACTATACTGGACATCAGGAACATCTTAAATTTTCCCAAATCAAACTTGGAACTAGAATATATAAGGCACTGGAAAAGTGGAAGGATGAGGCTAAGAGATTTCTGCAAATGGGAAACATAAAATCTTCCTGGATTCCTGAAATTCATTTCTGAAGCTAGATTGGGAGAACTTTACTATCATCACTCATATTACATGAGTAAAGGATGTCTAATGGGACACAGCACTTCATAGGCCACCTCTTCCAGCTCCATCTCTGTAGACTTAAACTGCAACCAATGACATATTCTTTCTCGTCTCCTAGCATCGGCAGATTTGTCCCAGAGGACAACAAATTAATTAGTCAAGGTTTTTCACTTAAGCCAGCTATAATATTGACTTTCTGTTGACATGTCGCTGCACTAAATCCCATCACACAAGGGAGATTAGAGGTCAGTGCCAAAAGTATCATTGTTATATTGGAAGTCTGAAAAACCAGCTTTGTTTGTTTGTTTTTGGTACAGTTAATAATCCTCTGCTTTTAGGACAAGATAAACATCCATTACCTGCTCCCGACTGTGAAGAAATCACAGTAGATGTATTCACTGACCTGGACTGAAATAGTAAGGGATGTCCCACCAAAATGTTGTTCCACCACATTGCCAACTCTCTGTGCTGTGAGAAATAAATCCGATATTTCTTCAGGGTGCAGGTCACGGAAACGCTCCACAGGACGGAGCGGGCAAACAAGAACATCTGGTTAGTCTAGAGTTAAGGTACAACTGCAAGTTCGGGAGGTCAGGTTTTATATCCTGTTTGTAACCTGGAGTTCAGATTTCAATAACACCTCAGGTAGAAAATATCAGAGAGAGAAGAAAAGGAAAGGAGAGAGGGAGGGAGGCAGGCAGGCAGGAAGGAAGGAATGGCTGTAACAGAACAATTTTCTAATCTGGTTGAAATTTGTTTGCCTCTAGCAGTGTCATATTGTAAGATACCAAAAAGTCCTCCTTTTTCTCCCAAAATATGAACACTAACATACAGATAATTTACCAGCTGGACTGAATTTCCAAAAGTTGTGACTGATCATCTTCAGGATCATCACTGCCATCATACCAGAAACAGTCCTATACTTACAAGATTGGAACATAGGAGGGAAAATGAACACTCCGCACCTATGGCAAGAAACAGAAAGAATTCCTTAGATGCTTCAGACAGGCATTCCATCTTAGATTTCTCACATTGCATTGATGAAACTGAGAGGAGATCCCTGTATATGAAGAAGTGGACATCATTTCAACCAAGTTCAGAGTGACTTACTTCAAGATAGTGACAGATGAATGCATAGTATGGCTTTCTCTCACAACTATTTTTTTTAAAATCTTAAAATAATTTGGATTATGAGTTTGAATAAATTCTAATACATCCACATCATCCAACTGCAAGAGCTACAGATGATCCCAGGGATATACGGAACCTGCCTGCCAAGCAGCTGCTAAAATTGGGTAACCTTCTATTTAAAAAAAAAAGAGTTTAGAGCTTTAATCCAGCAGCACAAGCATACAAGATTCAAACCCAAATGTCTAAGTGCTAAATCCTCTCTTTATGGATGGTTCTCTTAATTCCATTTTCTCTAGGGTTTCAGATCTCAAGTTTTTTCCAAGTAGTTTATGGGAATAAATTGTAAGTGTTGGTAAGCTTTTGCCATGGGGTGGGTGTGGACCAGATGAAATTCTTACCCATCTCTATGCTTACGTAAATTAGAAACATATTGAGCTGCATCCTGAAAAATCCGCATTCAGTAATTTAAACAATCTTCACCCTGATATATGTATGTGCAGGTTTGCCATGTACCTCCATGTCCTTGTGCATGCTTGTCTCTTCACACCCACCCACCAATGCAAACTTCATGTAAATCTTCCCACAAATCATGCCCACCCTAAGTGTACAGTATTTCTAGTGTGGGGTGTGTGGTTTTTTTCGGGGGGGGGGAAGAATCTGTGGATTTTTTGTCATTGTTTATCAAAAACCAAACCTGAGAAATTTAACTCATTTTTGCATTGAGTAAAAATGTCTTGGATTGATCCATAAAGTACTGAAGCGCTTTGCATTGCCCTAAAGAGATACGAGAAAGCAGTAAATTCATTTTTGATAGGACTTCTTTTTTTCAGTGCTGTGGGTTTATTCCTTCACCTGGAGGATAAAGAGCCAGAGGGCTTAATCAAATGCTGTCAATTCATTTGCCTGTCTTGCCAACATTATCACAGAAAATCCCTTCATAAATGGTACTATTGGTTGAACCGGGAGCCTGAGGGGAAAAGCGGGCAACTTCTTGGAGCCTTGATTTCCATACATGGAATAAAGAAACAGGAAAACTAATTAATTCAGCTCATAAGAAAGGGAAATTCATGTCAACATTAGAAAACAGGAAGATACGCATTGGTTTAATCCAACTTCATTTTTCAGAAGCAAAGATGGGAAGACTTTACCTCAGGGAGTCTGACACTTAAGTAGATAATTACCCTTCTGCAGCACTGCTTTATTATTATGGGTCAGTGAACCATTTATAAATGAAGAGTATCTTTCCACTTACCTCTAGCAAAATTTTGTCTAACAATCAGGAGCCTTTTTTTAAGGGGGGGGGCTTTCTCTTGGAATTCCACCCACATCCTCCTGAGGTCCTCCATTCCAGGGTTTATACTCAACGCAGCATCAAAATATAAAGTGTTCTTTTTATAATTATGTTCTAAACTGACCAGAGAGGGATCTAGTACTATGAGACAGTATATAAAGTGAAACAACAACAACAAAAACAATCATCCTCATAAAATCTTTACTAGGAATGTTAACTTCCACCCATTTCAAATGTCAAGTTGTACTGTGAGCTTTCAAAGCAGGAGAAGACTATCTGACAGAAGGCTGACTTTTTTTTCTTTTCTTCTTTTCATTAAGACCAGTCAGGCTACAATTCTTCACCCAGTGAGTTTTAAAGAAGCCCTACTGGCTTCCATGTGACTTACTTTTGAAGTTGTATACAGTTTCAACATCTGTCTGTTTCCACTCCACATGTGGTTTTTATGTATAAACCCGCCCCCCCCAAAAAAATTCCATTGCATACAAAACTTGTAAAAGACAGAAGCCAGAACACTGTTTAGCTATGGTTAAAAAGGGAAGTTCCAATGGAGGTAAAAAAAGAGAAGGCAGGCTGACAAATTTTGGTTCCTGATTTATGTTAAGCACAGTTAACAGGAGAGCCAGTGTTACATCTGCACTACTCATGTAACAGTTTATGAGCCCATAATATCCAATACTTAGAATAAAGAGGATTCAGAAGCCAACCTCACAACAGGACTAAGACAAGATTAATTAGACCAACACCAACCCTGACAGATGTTTATGCAGCTTATTTTTAGAAGCTCCTCTTTTATGCAAATAATGCCACATCCCCTGGCAAACCTTCCACCGGCCAATTACTCTCCTATTCAGACTGGTTTTTTTTCCTAATATTTCAGCAGAATTTAGGTTTGTCTCTGTTTCTGCCCCACTTTTTAAGGGACAAGGTGAAGAACTGAGCTTTGCTTTTGTGACAAGAAGCCTTTGAAACTTTCCGGTGTGTGTGTGTTTCTTCTTCCTCTTTTAAATGGGTCTGATGGGTTTTTTTTTTAACACATGCTGCCTCTAATCACTATGGTTAGGAGGGACCTTTCTGCGCTGGGGCAACTGTCAATCTATCCAGCACTAACCAATCATTCCTTCTCACCTCTGAATTCAAAGAGAGCCCCGACTCTCCGCTGTGTGCTCTCTTTCCCTCTCTTTAGTTTGCTGGAATCAGTTGTTGTTGATCTGTTGACAACTGTTAAGTAATGAAATGTTTTTTTATTTTTTCTCCCACAAATATCTCAGAGTGAGTTACTGAGAGATTAAGTGCCGGTTAATGAGAAAGGGGTGGACTATCTGGAGAACTTGTAGCTATTTTCCTCTGGAGTCTCTGTATTTCTACTGTGTAGCACAAAGGAACTTTACCAGGAATTTTAAAAACTCTGCAGCAGTGTCTAGCTATAGTACAGGAGTCAGCAACATATGACCTAGAGCAAGACATCCCCATCTGATGTTGCAGCTCTGCAGCATTTAGAAGTCACTCTCTTCATGCTCTGTTTTGAACTCTGAAGCAGCCAAAAGTGTTTATAGAAAACCAGAAGTAGACTTCCAGCCTCTACTTTTGATTTTTTTATAGTGTGGCTTGCCGCACAGCTGATGTTAGGAAATGGGCCTCCATACTCCTTAGAGTATATCCACTACTATGTAACAGACAAGCTGTTTTGTAAGATTAGATGGAAAACCTTCTCTCCTTGCACTTCCGACTGCATTAGTATTCCACAAGTATCTCTATCCTTGCACATTTTCTGAGATATTGGAAGGATGGGGGGGAGATCCAGAAAAAAGGAAGCTTTTAAAACACACTGCTTTTGAATCCTTGCTACTTGATCACTCTCATTATCAGGCTTTTAATAGCTTTATTGTTTGGTTTTGTTTACTTACATATATCTGCCATCTTTCTTCCCTGGAACTCAAGATAACATTACATCCACTGGGATTCAAATCTTTTAAGATCAAACTACCCTTAACATAAAGACAAAGCTATGTAGTTTTGAGTCCCAGGGAATAAGGAATATGTGCGTAAATCTGTTCAGTTGTCACTTCACAATATGTGCAGCTCGCTCTCTCTGACTCAGCTTGGATCAGAGCTTGTGAAGAGATGAGGGCGAATCCTCCCCTCCACTGCCAAGAGCCTCCCAAATTTGTGCTCCACTTCAATAATTAAGTTTACACAAAAGTTTACATTAATGCACTGTGAGAAACATTCTTCCTAATCCTAACTGGCAGGCTGAAGGGCCATCTTTCTTGTGAACATGGCGAGGTATGGATTAAATCTCTCCTGTGCACTGTAGTCCTAATCTAGATGCGATATATTTAAACCATAATACATATTGGACTATATTCTCAGACATATACCACCATAGCTTTAAGGTCTTTTAAAAAGGAGTGTATGCTATTGTAATGCCATATGATTGTTGCTCTGTTTCCCTAAGTAGCTGGTAGTGTGCAGTGATTTGGAGCACCCTGGCTGTTGAACCACGGACCAGGAGTTCAAATTCCCACTATGTCTCCTGGAAGATGAGCTGGGCAAAATCAATTGCCACATCTGTGGCTGATGGGCTTGTGTGCCCTGCCACCTGTGTGGCCTTGGAGGAGCTGCCAGGGACCAGTGTGCCACCAGAAGGAAGGGCCGGTAAACCACTTCTGTGTGTCTTAGGTAAAGGTAAAGGTTCCCCTTGACAATTTTGGTCCAGTCGTGTTCGACTCTAGGGGGCGGTGCTCATCCCCGTTTCCACGCCATAGAGCCAGCGTTTTGTCCAAAGACAATCTTCCGTGGTCACATGGCCAGTGCGACTTAGACACGGAATGCTGTTCCCTTCCCACCGAGGTGGTCCCTATTTATCTACTTGCATTTGCATGTTTTCGAACCACTAGGTTGGTGGGAGCTGGGACAAGCGACAGGCGCTCACTCCATCACGTGGATTTGATCTTACGACTGCTTGGTCTTCTGACCCTGCAGCACAGGCTTCTACGGTTTAGCCCGCAGCGCCACCTTAGGCCTAAAAAAAAAAAAAAAAACTCTAGGAGGGTTGTCATAAATTGGGCTTGACGGTATGTAATAAGCTGCACTGATGTCACAAAGAAAAGGACCGTTTTCTTGGGTGTGACTGTTTACTGGACCCAAAATAACACAGTGTTCCAGTAGTGCGAAAACAGAAGATGAACCACGTGGAGTTTCAGAACGTGATTTATTCCAAATCTTCCTTCATAGAGACGCATAGTTTGCAATTCTGTAAGCACTTTGAGCACGTTCATACTGTATTTAGGCTTTGTTCCTCTCATACTCACATATCTAGTTCTATTGATTGCAACGGGGATTACTTCTGAGTAGATGCGTAAGGAGTTGCACTGAATGTTAATTGCCTTTCCATGAGGCAGTCAACGGGCGGAAGGTATTATTTGACCAGACCCTCCTAACCTGACCCGAGAGCTACTGGTGCAAATTTCTCTCTCCTGCTCTTGTCTGCGACAGGTATTTGTAGGGCATTCCTTCGCGGTTTTAGCAAGGCGGCAGGGGAGGAATCAGCTTCATTGTTTTAAAGAACAGCTTCAAAAAGGAAGCAACACAAAGCTTTAGAAAGCAGACCGAAACTGCTTTATAGATAGTCACATCCTTGACAGCCCACCGAAACAGGTTCTCTTTCACAGAGGCCACTGAAGTAACTGTTCTTTAGCATGGCAAATCACTTGATGTGAATAAAGCCTTAGAAAGGGGCAGGATAAGACAAAATGGTTGATCTTTCGCCAGACGAATCAAGAAGGTTACTTTGCGTCTTTCTGATACCTGAAGCTCTTTCAGATCTACTGGGTTAGTCCCTTTTCTAGTTGAACTCCTTTTACACCTGCCTTTAACAGATTTCTGCAGTGCAGCCCTGTCATATTTGACATGATCAAGAATTCCTCACATTTTCAGGGAGGCTTCTTCTGACCCTCATATGATCAAGGATGACAAGTCAGTGAGCCAGCTTTCAGCACAGCTCCCCAATCCTGCAAACACAGTCTTGTAAGGGCTGGAGAGGTAAATTCATAAGGTTGACGTCAGCACTCCAAGGCCTTGGAATTGGCGACCTACTGCAGGGCTTTCTCACTAGCTAAATAGCGCACTCTTTCCTCACAGGGTACCAGTGGGAGGTATAAAAATATACCTATAGTGCATGTGTGTGTGTGTGTCTTTGCGGTGGCATGGTAGAATCAACCACACACATAATATTACATTGCCAGTTATATCATGAACAACGTAATAAGTTTATTCTTCCTTTGCTTAACTGGTTTTTTGGGTTCTAAAACAGAGCTCTCACATAAACTACTTTTAGGTTTTAATCCCCAGATTACAATATATTCGCGAAGGCTTTCACGGTCGGGATCTAATGGTTGTTCTTGGTTTTTTTCGGGAAGAACCTTCAGAACACGGCCAAAGAGCCCGAAAAACCCAGAACAACCCCAGATTATACTTACCTGTGCAAAATTTTTCGCAGCTGCATGCAAGGTTTAATGGATAATGATTTTAAGCTATAACTTCCCTTT